ATTGGCCGTACCTTCGCCATGCCCACCAGCCAACAAAGATGGCACTGAGTGGTGGTGCGGGATGCTTGTGTCCTCGCCATGGTGATGGCTAGGCATTCCCAACCACCCCAGCCACTCTGGGCCTCTGGGCAGCGTGGGAAGGTGGAAAGGCAGCTCTGGCCAGAGCAAAGGTGGCCCATTCTTGCACAAATCTTTGTGCATCCGACATAAAGGTCATCTATTTATTTAAAAAAAATACACCTCTAACCTATCAAAAAAGCCCCTAAAAGTTGCATGTAGGACCCCAGAACGAGGAAGAGAATGCTGTCCGAGGCCATGAGGAGCAACAATGAGTCAGGCTTGTTCCCCAGGAAGGCGGGGAGATGCTGTTGCAAAAACAAACAAGGCTATTCCAATGCTCACCCACAAAATAGATAAATGGACTCAGGAGAAGAATCAGATTTCCTTTCTTATTCCCCTCTGTGCTCACTTGTCACTGGGACATCACCCTGAGCTGCACAGGGAGAGGGTGAGGAGGTCCCTGCTGATCTGAGCTCTGCAGCCACAGAGACCCAGGTCTTACTGAAGCGTCTCCAGGGCCCGGGTGGCACTGTCCATGGTGAGGACCCCAGGGAGGTGCTGATGGACAGGCTCAGGAGGAAGGAGACCCTGTGGGGGAGGCTCTGACAGGGAAGGAAGTGCCCTGGGCCACCTTGCCTGCAAGGGGTGGCTCAGGTGGCTTCTGGTTTGCTTCCTGGTTGGTCATGGAAACCACAGCCAGGCTGCCAGGAAAACCTTGTTCCCCTTCCTTGGGGCTGTTGACGTGGCCACTGTGACAAACACAAGACCAGCAGGGCCAGCCTCCAAGTGGCCCCACCCTGTGCGCCTGTACTGAAAGCGCCATGGGCTCCATCTGCACACTCAGGACCAGATTGGGAAGACACCATGATCCGCACGCTCAGGGCCCTGCTCTGCCTCGGTGAGATGGGAGGGGGAGGGGAGCCCTGGTCTGTCAGGACCCCAGGACTCAGGAGGCTCATGGGGAGGAGTGAGCTGCTCAGGGTTCAGGGCAAATCTCTCACAGGGACTCTCTTCCAGGGCTGAGCGTGGGCCTCAGGACCCCAGTGCAGGCAGGTGAGTCTCCCCAGGTGTCCCAAGTCCCACTCCTCTCTGGGGATAAGGGCCACCCCCTGGGAAATTTGGGTGGTGAACAGCAGTTTCAGGCTGATGGATGATGGACATCTCAAATGTTCGGGGCTGAGAGCTGGGAACTGAGGGTGGGAATGTCTTTTGATCAAGTCCCTGATTTCCTTCCAGAGCCCCTCCCCAAGCCCACCCTCTGGGCTGAGCCAGGCCCTGTGATCCCCAGGGGGAACCCCGTGACCATCTGGTGTCAGGGGACCCTAGGGGCTAAGGAGTACCGTCTGGATAAAGAGGGAAACCCAGCACCATGGAAAATACAGAAGCCATTGGAATCCGGGGACAGAGCCAAGTTCTCCATCCCACACATGACAGAGCATGATGCAGGGATATATCTCTGTTACTATCAGAGCCCCAATTTCTGGTCAGAGCCCAGTGACCGTTTGGAGCTGGTGATGACAGGTGAGAGGACACTCAGGGGTCCCAGCTTCAGGCTCTGCCCTCAGGAAGAGGTTCTGCTCTCAGGGTGTCTCCCTCTCACAGCCCAGCCCTGGGGGACATGAGGGAGGTATGAGCCTATTTAACACGCTGCCTCCTCCTCTCCTAGGATTCTACAACAAACTCAGCCTCTCAGCCCTGCCTGGCCCTGTCGTGCCCTCAGGAGGGAACGTGACCCTCCAGTGTGGCTCAGGGCAGGGATTTGGCAGGTTCATTCTGACTAAGGAAGGAGATCACAGGCTTTCCTGGGCCCTGGAACCACAGCGACAGCCCAGTGGGCAGTTCTAGGCCCTGTTCCCTGTGGGCCCTGTGACTGCCAGCCACAGGGGGACGTTCAGATGCTATGGCTATTACATGAACAGCCCCCAGGTGTGGTCACACCCCAGTGACCCGCTGGAGCTCCAGGTCTCAGGTGAGGAGCCCAGTCCTGTCCCCTCCTTGTTTGTATGTTTGGTTAAGGATCCTTCCCAGGAGGTCCCCAATGTAGGACCAGAGTGAGGGCTTCAGGGAGGGTCATCCACAGGGCAATCCACCCCTCAACGGGATGGATGGAGCACAGTGGGCCTTCTGCCCCTGCCCCTTCCTCATGCCCATCACCAGATTCTCCAGGGGACCCCAGGAGCTAGAAGGGAGGAATTGCCAGGGCCACAGGGAAGATGAGGAGACAAGTGTTAACAAATACAGCATCTCTGGCCGGTTGTGGGGGCACTCTACCCTTCCTCCTTCTCTTTTTTTCCAGGCCCCTCTGTGGACCCCAGCACCCAACACCCAAAGCTCACCTCCACGGATGGTGAGTCACTGGGGCCTCCTTGCTCTGGGGGAGCCCAGACCAACCCAGGCACCTCTGAGAGCCTCTCAGAGGATGTAGCATCCCAGCACATACTCAGGGATGGGCTTGTTTTCTGGGGACTGAGGCTGGTGGGGCAGTCAAAGCAGAGGGAAATGTGAGGCCCAGATTAGGGGAGCAGGGACTGGGTTTCAACAAGGCTTATGATGCACAAATAGGTGGCATCCACTATTGGTGGTGGGGGTCTTAGTGTCCCTAGGATGATGATTTTTTTAAAAAAATTATTATTTTTTAAAATGTGAAATTCAATGGTTTTTATTGCATTCAGAGTTGTACTATCTAATAATCACCACTATTTAATTTCAGGACCTTTCCTTTTTCTATTTATTTATTTATTTTAAAAATATATTTTATTAATTTTTTTACAGAGAGAAAGGGTGAGAAATAGAGAGTTAGAAACATCGATGAGAGAGAAAGATTGATCAGCTGCCTCCTGCACACCCCCCACTGGGAACGTGCCCACAACCAAGGTACATCCCTTGACTGGAATCGAACCTGGGATCCTTCAGTCTGCAGGCTGACACTCTATCCACTGAGCCAAACAGGTTTCAACCTTTTTCTCTCTTTTTAAAAAGACATGCTCACCCTTAGTTGGATTGACTCGGTGGATAAGAGTCTCAGCCTGCATACGGAAGGGTCTTGAGTTCAATTCTACCTCAGTTGCAGGCTCCTACCTGGCCCGGGTCCTGGTCGGGGCACATGCAGTAGGCAATCAATCAACACATCGATGTTTCTGTCTTGCCCTTTCTCTTCCACTCTCTGTAAAAATCATTGGGAAAATATCTCAGCTGAGAATTAAAAAACAAAAACACAAAAACACTAATAGACATGCAGGCACAAGTTGCACACACTCTACAGAAAGTATCTCGGGTGGCTGGGCGGAGACACCGACAGGAAGGTGGGGATGGCCCTCGCTGGTTTAGCTCAGTAGAATGAGCATTGGCCTGTGGATGAAATGGTCAGGATGGCAATTTTCAAAGAGTCCCTTTCCCTCTGAGCCTCAGTGTCTCCCCAGGAGACAGAGGAGAACCCCAGCTCAGACCTCAAAGGACCTCTCAGCTCTGACTTGCAGGCATGGCCCTTGTCTGCAGAAGGGCAGGACGGGCAATGTAGGGTGCTTGGGGTGTTAGGAACCAACAGGGCAATGATAGGGGTGCCATTCTGAGTGCTCTCCTACCAGCCTGCAGTGTGTAGCCTGTGATATTGAAGGAAAGACATCAAACTCGTTAACACGTGGGCCAGGGCTTGGAGACTGGGCTCTATGAAACGTAGATCCCAACTCGGCTCCTCCCCATCTGGGGGAGCTCAGCCAAGGCCCAGTTTCACTCTCTGTGAGCTGTGTCTCCTACCATCTCCCATGCAGGTTTGCTAAGAGATTTAGGTGTTGGTGTCCCTCATTAGGGCACCATAATGCTGGGGTTCTTTTCCCAGCCTTACAATGGGTTCAGCATTCTGGAGAAAAGGCCTGGGCATAGATAATTAAAGAGTGCAAGGATGAAAGATATTTTTGAAAGGCATTGGGGGTCAGTGGAGCTTCAGCTAAAAGGAACTGCAGACTCTCCCTTGACCAAGGACCCCTACTTTTATTCAACATGATTTATCCCAAGGCAAGGTGGAAATATGCACTTCAAAGGGTACGGAATCAAAGAAACATTGTCAATTTGGGAGATAGCCTACAGCTGTTCAGCCTACAGCTGGCCAGGATACTCCTTCATTGACAACAGGAGGCAATAAAATGCCTCTTTAGGGTTTCCTATTCAGGGTTTCCAACAGGTAAACTAAGTATGTGGCTCACCCTTGTTGAGCTCCCCAAGTCCCATCAACCTTTTGATGGAACTCTTATAATTATAATATTATGGTGGAATTGATTCCCGGCATTTAGGTGAGACCCCAGAAGTAGAAGCTCTCAGTCCACCCAGTGCCCAGGACAAGGCAGACCCATCCTCATGTCCCCTCTCACATCCATGCTTAGAAAAGGTCAGGCAGGTTCTGTGTGGGAGTGCGGGGTCTGCAGGATAAAGGACAGATTCTAGCTGGACGTGAGAACTGGGAAGATCAGACTCCATCCCACACAGTCCCATATAGGTTCCCCATAGCCTCGGATGGGCTAGTAAATGGGAATGAATAGAGAGATGCATTCAACTCAGAGGGCTGGCACATGTGGGGACCAAGGAACAGGCCATTCCAATCAGAGAAGCAGCCCCCAGAGCCCAAAGCTGGTGTGTGTGTGTGTGTGTGTGTGTGTGTGTGTGTGTGTGGTAACATGAGCAGAACAAAAGGGAACCCACAGTCCTGGGTTCAAATCCCAGCTCTGCCATTATCCAGGCTGGGTGTCCTGGTGCATCCGATTTCTCTCTCTGAGCCTCAGTTTCCTCATTTGTGAAATGAATGGAGGTGGGATTGGCATCCACCTGTCTCTTGATTGTTACGAGGGTCAGAGGCGATTCACTCGCAGACTCCCTACACATGCCTCACACACAGTAGGTGCTCAATTACGTGGCATCATTGGCTCATTCACGCCATCATTGTGCCCAAGGTCTTCAAAGTTACCATGAGATTCTGATCGGAGTCTCAGTGACCTTCATCCTACTGCTCTTCCTCCTCCTCCTCCTCCTCTTCCTCTTCAAGCATCGGAACAAATGCAGCAAGTCAGGTGAGTAGAAGATGGGGAGACGTTGCCTACCTGAGAAGATTCTCAATGTAAGTACAGTTGTGACAGGAGGGGTCCTGCGTTGGAGGTAGCAGGGGTGCACCCAGAACCTGAGGGACTGTGCTGGTGATGGGGAGCCATGAGAAGGTGTCATTGCCAGCCTGCTGTGGAGAGCAGTGGGGCGTGGGTGTGGTGGTAAGGAATGGGGATGGAGTGGAAGTGGTTGGGAGTTCCATTGCTTTGAGAAAATACGTAAATATATGGGGTGAAATGCCTGTGAAGAATTTAAAAACGTGCAGAACTGGTGGCTAGAAAAAACAAAACAAAAACTGAGGCATTCCATTGGAATGGAAGATGTCAGTATCGTTACCAAATGCAAGTTTGATTGCCTGCTGTGACAGAGGCTGAGGCAGGCAGACAGGTGAAAAGGTTAGATATTTTATTCATGTACAGAGGATCCGAGAAGGTGGTGGACTCCTACCCTAAAAACAACCATCTTAACGACTCTGGTCTAATTGGTGACTTTTTAAAGAAGAGGGAAGGGAAGTGGGGACATGTAAGCTGTGTTCTCACTGGTTCCGACAAAGATCTTGGATGCAGCATGCTGACTCTTTCAGTATCGGTCGGTCTGCTCCTTTCTCAACAGGAACTGGAACTGATGCAATGTCCTAATATAGAAGATAAAATAGTGGTTGTTAGGAAAAAAAAAAAAAAAAGTTGTTCCTGTTTCTGTTCCAACAAGCTTGTTTGTTTACTGGTTAGTACAGTAATTCTGGAAAGCACAATATTGCATAAAGATTATATGTTTTTCATTCTGTTACAGAATGACCTAATTACAAATTATATGTCCTATCTAATATCCTATCTAATAAAAGAGTAATATGCAAATTGATCATCACTCCAACACTCCAAGATGGCTGCCCCCATGTCTTCAAATATGGCTGCCCCCATGTGGACACAAGGTGGCTGCTACATCATGGCCAGCAGGGGAGGGCAGTTAGGGGCAACCAGGCTGGCAAGGGAGGACAGTTAGGGGTGACCAGGATCACAGGAGAGGTCAGTTAAGGGTGACCAGGCCAGAAGGGGAGGGCATTTAGGGAAATCAGGCTGGCAGGAGAGCAGCTAGGCATCGATCAGTCTAGCAGGGGAGTGATTAGGGGGTGATCAGGCTGGCAGGCAAAAGAAGTTAGGGGCAATCAGGCAGGTGAGTGGTTGGGAGCCAGCAGTCCTGGATTGTGAGAGGGAGGTCCCATATTGGAGAGGGTGCAGGCTAGGAGTAAGCACACCTATCACTCAGGTCTTAGCTTCTAAATACCATCCTCTACGAGAGAGCAGAGATGTAATAAGAACAAACTTAGACTGTAAACATGTTCTTTCAGGTTCATGGAAATTTATTTAAATCAGCCATGCTAGTTTGGGGTGCTACCTTTTAACTTTGTTTACCTTGAATCCCAAATGGACCAAGGTGGGGGGTCACAGCCTCTGAGATCTTAATGGAGCCCCAGGGGGCCGGGTTCTGGGCTAGTTTGGAAGCTAATTTCCAACTCTGTACAGGTGCTTTAAACCTTGAGGCGAAGACCAGAGCACTGCAGAAAAGGTAATTTCTTTCCCAACCCCTCCCACCTCCACCTGTAGCTCCTTCAACTACTGTCTAATGCGCCTGTCCTCCTTCCTCAGCTCCAGCTCCATGGCTGATGACCAGGAGCAGAACCGGTGTAATAGTGGAGGAGGTGAGGTCTTGGTGGGACATAGGGGCAGGCTGAGTGCTTGGGAAGGCTTCTGGGCTTAGAGGGTGAGGAAGCATGAAAGTCCCAAATATGTGTGACCCTAGGCACATCCCTGCCCCTCAACGAACCTCAGTCTGCCCACCTAACTGACAAGGAGTGTGTGCGGATTGGGAATTTCAGGAATCTTGCATGAGATTGGATCTTTTCATTCTTTAGATGCTTCCCGAAGAGAATCCCAATCTGAGGAGGACAAAAAGATGAACAGTCAGGTAAGATCCCTGGCCTGTCCAGGACACCCAGGACACCCAGCAAAGACTTGTTAATACCCCCAGGGGAACTACTCCAGGCTCAGGTAGGGGGTGGCCACTCTGCCTTCTGTCTTGTCAGAGGAAATACTGAACATAGAGGACAGACACATGGGAGAGGACACGCAGATGGGCCAGTCATGTGGGTCCTTTCTGCTCCCAGTGCCCTGGCTTCTCTCCTCCCCACCCCCAATGACTCACCTGCCTCTCATTCTATCCCCTCCAGGATACTCCGTCTGAGGATGCCCAAAATGTGACCTATGCCCAGCTGAGTCACTTGACCCTCAAAGGAGAGACAACAGCAGCCCCTTCCTCCCCGTCAGACCAGCCCCAAGTGGAGCCCAGTGTGTATGCTTCTCTGTCCTTCCACTAGCCCAGGAGGGACTCAGACCTCACACTCCAGAGAAAGGAAATGCAGGGACCCCAGAAGGCATAAGCGCTGCCCCCATGGACACTCAGCTACTGAATGGAGCCTGAGAACATTAGATAAGCAAGTGGATGAAAAGATATAAAAATTATAAGAACATATATTTGTATGGAAAAGAATTAAAAAAAAAAGAGAGAGAGAGAGAGAGAGAGAGAAAATCAATTGTGTTCGTCTTTCCCGGGCTGCCATAGCAAAGGACCATAGTCTGGGCAGAGCAGAAAACAATGGAAATCCATTCTCCCATTGTTCTGGAGGTTGAAAGTCTAAGGTCAAGGTGCAACGAGGGTTGGTATCCTCGATGGCTTCTCTCCTTGGGTATGAATGGCTGCCTTCTTGCTTCTGCTTACATGGTCTTTCCTTGGTGTGTGTGTGTGTATGTGTGTGTGAAGGGGAGAGGGAGAAAAAGCGAGCCCTGGTGTGTATCTTCTTCTTCTTCTTCTTCTTTTAAATTCTTTATTGAGTAAGGTATCACATAATTGTCCTCAACCCCCCATTCCAATCCCCCACGCCACCCCCACTCATGCCCCCACCCCCCTTATTGTCCTTGACCACTGGTTAGACTCATATGTATGCACATAAGTCCTTTGGTTCATCTCTCCCTTTTATCCCCACCCTCCCTTTGAGGCCCAACAGTCTGACCCTTGGCTCCTTATCTCTTGTTCATCAGTCTATGTTGTTCACCATTTCCCCTAGATGAGTGAGATCATGTCCTACTGGAAATATAAGAATCAAGAACTGAAATATCATTGGTGTGTATCTTCTTTTAAAGACACTAGCATATCTGATCAGGGTCCCACCCTTAAGATCTCATTGAACCCTAATTACTTCCTCATAAGCCTTATCTCCACATACAGCCACAGGGGAGATTAAGGGCTTTCCCATGAATTTTGACAGGGGAGGAAGTCAACATTCAGTCCATAACATTCGGAGGTCCCCGCCCCCCCAATTTTGTATCCTTCTTCCATTCAAAATATATTCATTCCAGTTCTACAGAGATCCAAAGCTTCACTCATTCCAGCATCAACAATCAAAGTCTCATCTACCTATTGTCTATGTCAGGCATAGGTGAGACTCAGGATAGGACTCCTTTTAAGGAAGAATCTCTCTGCAGTCACGAATCTGTGACCAACAAGTTCCAAAAAATGCATCGCTGCCACAGATGTAGGAGAGATGTTCTCTATTCCAAAAGGGAAACATCGGAAAGACAAGCGTGACAGATTCCAAGCACGTTCAACATCCAGCAAAGCAACTCTTTGTTAAATCATTTTTGTCTATTTTGGGTTCAATTTTTACAAATTTTATTTTTCAGTTACAGTTCACATTCAGCATTATTTTGTATTAGTTTCAGCATAGTGGTCAGATGGGATGTTCTGCCCTCTAGAACATGGGGTGGCAGTGTCACCTCCATGGCTCAGCAGGGTGACACAGTACCTTCATCTCCCTGTTGAAACCAAGGAAGTGATTCTAACTTTGACATCAATGGGGCAGCCCCGATCGCCTCTGAATTGCCTTTGGGGTCATTCTTTCCGTTTCTTGAAGAACAACTTACAGGGCAGTATTACAGGATGGGATCTGCCCCCAGAGCCAGGCTACCTTGGGCCAACTGGTAGTTTGTGGGTTCTTGACTCCGTGTAGGAAAAATTTCACAACGCAGGTCTAGGTGCTTTTGAGAGTAAGTTCATTAAAACTGGGCACAGTGAAAAACAGATGGACTTAGGTAGAAGAAGCAACAGGAGAGAAGACATTAGAGGACAACAGGGTCTTGGAGACAGTTTCAGGAGATGAGCCCAGGACGAGCTGCCACTGCCCACTGCTCCCCTGGTTGCACGTTTCCTGGGATCCTTTAGAATTTAGGAGAAAAACAGCAGAGATAACCAGGGGTGGGTGTGCTCAACAAGAGCATGTGAGCTGGGTCCTTTGCCTTGAGGATTTTTATCTCTCTTTGGCAGGCTGGGCTCCAAGGGGAGGTCTCAGGGGAAGGTCTCAACAGAATATTCATTCTTTTTTTCAGGTGTGTCCTTCAATATGTTGATTCAGCAAAATGTGCATAGAGAGGGGGTCAGGGGTTATTTTCTGGTTAGTTTCATTTTTGAAGAACATCGTTGTTAAGGTCACTGAAGGCGGAATGCACAAGGTCAAAGAGGTAAAGAGTTAGAAATTTACCAGAGGTCCAAGGCACAACATTTGTGCAAGAGGCTTGTCCAACACAGCTTTGGTGGCTTGCCATGGCCCTCACAGCCCAGCTTCATTCAGAAGGTCATCCGGAAGGACATTCGTTCAGTTGTCTAGTCTAATTAGCATATTACGCTTTTATTATTATAGATTAGGTAATGTGTAAACCAGATGGGCTGAACCCCAAATGGCGCCAACACCCAGGGATGGGGAGTCAGAGATTTTAAACAACTCTAGGTGGCCTTTTTCAGTGGGGAATTCTCTGGACAGGTCCAGATTCTGGAAAAGCCTGAAGGGGAAAGATACTGGTCTTTTTGCAAATGGAGTGTGGACTTAACAGTCAGGTCGCAGGGTTGGAGGTATTGATTCAATTATTATATTTAAACAGATCTAACATTCCAGCCTTTCTGTTTTATGGAATAAGGACGGAGGACATCTCCTTCATAGTTACTTCCTGCTGAGGGGACATCAAGATCGTAGAGGGATGACCTTTGACTATAGTCAGCTAGAACACTGTATAGATTCATCATGAGTGGAGTGGGGGGTTGAAGCAGCATGGTTTTCCTGAGAGACTGGTTGGTGAAGACCGGAAAGCAGTCCTGATGAGTGACTTGGGAGGTAAAAGGTGGTCCTAAGGCAGCCACAGTGTCACTTGTCTGGTTTTGCTGCTTTTCTGGGCCTGGAGCTGAAATACAACTGAAGGTGTTATTTTCAGGGAAGAAAAGATAACATCTAGGGATGTTAGTCAGGGTGTCTAAACTGCCTGATTAGTAATATGGAAGGGAAGGGTAGGTTACCCTGGGGGTAAGTTTCTTGTTTTCCTAGTTTTGCCCCTTGATAGACATCTGGAGCTTTCTTCCCTGATGAGTGTCTGTACCTGGCCCATCAACCATCCTTGCTCTGGGGGGTTAAATTCTGGGGGTCTGTCTCACATTTTCTTCCTCAAGGATTTTTGGCACTGAATTTTCTCAGGGGAAAAGGGGGGGAAGGGTGAGTGGTGGCAGTGCACAGGGTCTCTTCCATAACGGCTTCCTGCTAAAAGGGGGCGATGTTTTCCTTCAGAGCCAAAAATCTTTGCTGTCTGTCAGAGGGACAATGAGTCCCAGGCATAAAAGGAGGTTGTGATGGTGTGTAGAGGTGATATTTCATAGGACAAGTAGGACTTGTAATCTGGTGGAGACCATCTGTTTTATAAATGTTAGTATTATTGGCGCTAAAGCTAGAACAATAATAATTATGACAAATGATCTGATGGAAGGAAAGAGCTGTAGCCAACTATTTAAGAAAACTAGATAAATTTTGGGCTTAGTTTGGTCTTAGATTCCATTTAGAATTTTTAAAAATAAAGAGCAAACAATATGCAAGATTTTGAAAACATCGCACATGGCTCGTTGAAGTGTGCGTTGAGCACTGGAATCAATTCATAAACACCCCAATGTGCAAATTACAAACATCTGGAGTACTACTGCCAGATGCCTTCCATAGGGAAAATTACTCTAGGCTTGCCCAGTGTCACTGTTACTCCTGAGAATTTCCTGTTTGAACTCGGCTCTGAATCTTTGCAAGTTCCTTCCTAGAACGGATGGAAATTTCTAGAACATTATTATTATTTTTATTAATTTCTTTATTGATTAAGGTATCACATATTTGTCCTCACCCCCCTCCCATACCAATTCCCCACGCCACCCCCACTCATGCCCCCACCCCCCTTATTGTCCTTGACTACTGGCTAGGCTCATATGTGTGCACATAAGTCCTTTGGTTGATCTCTCTCTTTTATCCCCACCCTCCCTCTGAGGTTCAACAGTATGACCCATGGCTCCTTATCACTGGGCCTGTAGAACTTTATTTTTTATAACTAGTGGCCTGGTGTACAGATTCATGCACATGGAAAGGAAATTAATTAGAAGGTGACCATTGGGGCCGGACTGGGTGAGATAGGTCAGACATGCCCTGGAGCCAACCTCTCTCAGTCCCTCCTTAGCCAGCCGCACCTGGAGATGGGGTGCACTGCTGTTTGGAAGGCATCTGTGGAGTGAGCGGAGTCCCTCCAGCAGCATAGGACTCAGAGGTAAGCCCAAGGAAAGCTGCTGGCTACTGGTCTCTTGAGTAGCAAACTTGGGATGATCTGTGGAATCCTCCTGGGTTTCAGCACCAAATGTTAGGGTCGCCGAAGGAGGAACACAGGAGGCCAAAACAGGTAAAGAACTATGAATTGTTTAGGTCATCTGTAAACCAGATGGGCTGAGCCTCAAAAATGGTACCAGCATCCAGGGACAGAGAGTCATAGATTTTTTTTTAATATATTTTTTATTGATTTTTTACAGAGAGTAGGAGAGAAAGATAGAGAGCTAGAAACATCGATGAGAGAGAAACATCAACCAGCTGCCTCCTGCACACCCCCTACCGGAGAGGTGCCCGCAACCAATGTACATACCCTTGACCGGAATCGAACCTGGGACCTTTCAGTCGGCAGACCAACGCTCTACCACTGAGCCAAACCGGTTTCGGTGAGAGTCATAGATTTTTAAAGGACTCTAAGTGGGCTTTTTCAGTGGGGAATTCTCTGGGTGGGTCTGGATCCCAGCCAAGTCCAGAGGGAAAGGATACTACTGGTCTTAGCAAATGGAATGTGATGTAAGTTAAAGAGAATGTTGGTTGTGAAGTGGTCTAAAGGTCATTTCCCAGGGGTGGGGGTATCGATTCTGTTATTGGATCAGACCTAACAGTCATCAAGAACATCATTTAAAGGGATGAGGGACTGAGGCCACTCT